AATTTGACAAAGTTTTAATGCAGTGGCAGTGTAAGATAAGATCATACTCGCGGAATTATTAATCAATTTGAGAGATCGGCCTCAGTCAATGCAATGCCCATTCGAGCCTTTATAGTCTTGTATTAGGAATATCTCTGTACTTATGTGCTTTATTTCATGGAGAAATATTCTCAATGCAAGATTGCAAAAGGCTGTTCAAACGGTATAAGCACAGGCTAGTACTAATGGAAGCTGACTTCTAATTTAATGGTATTTATCAAAATTCACAAGGGGTTTTGATTGGTCAAACCTATTTATTTGGTATTGTCTTTCAGTAACAGAGATTTTTTCTTGACTATTTTGAAGTATTCAGTTAAGTACTTTTTTTCTTGACTATTTTGAAGTATTCAGTTAAGTACCATGAAATGCACCCATCTGCAAGTGTGCAACCAACGTTGTATTTCATGAGGTGGCTGTTTGAAATCTAGACGCAGTCTAAACACCAAGTTCAACCAGCAATACCTAATCCAATAGACGGTTTCTTTCTAAAAGATCCCTCCCCGTGATCACATCCATCATGATACCTAATTTTCTGGGACCTGGGAGTGCATGAAAGATAGCTGATAGCTCGCAATAACATTACCTAGATTCGATTTAACCCTTGTCTACATCGATCCTATTCCGCCATTCCACTGTGTTCAGTGCCATACATCCATAGTTGAACTATGGGCCCTTAAACCATTTACCTCACCAGTTACATTACAAGAGATTACTAAAGCCAAAAGTCTTCCAAGATGAATGGGCTCCTAGCCATCCAAACTATCACATCTCCCTTGTTTCATATCCCAACTAGGATATATCCCATAGGGGTGAGCAAAAAAAAAATGAATCGATCGAAATCAAATCAAAAAATTGGTTAATCGAACCGGTTGGTTTGGTTTCGGTTAACCAATATAAAAAATCAACAGTTAATCGAACCAACCAGTATACATATATTTTTATATATTTTATATATATTTATGTATATTATATATATTTTATATATTATAAATTAATAAATATGAATTATATATATAAATATATATTTATAATATATTATTTATTATTTATTATTTAAAATATAATATTTTTTTATTATATATATATATATATATTGTAAAAACTAAAAAACCGAAAAAACGATGAACTGAATCGACAGTTAATCAATTGGTTTCAGTTTGGTTCCGGTTATCGATTTTTCAAAAATCGATACTACCGATTAGGTTCAAGAAAATGCCCCATGGTTCGGTTAACCGTAAACACCCCTAATATCCCATGCTCATTAGGAAAAAAAAGAAACGAAAAAAATTAGGATATTTTTTTTGATAGGTGAAAAAAAAACTAGGATATACTCATATAGCACAATAGACATTGAAGTGAACAGGAATAAAATACCAAAGTTTAATTTAACAAGCAAGGGAGAGTAGACAGAATACATGAAGTGCAGTTACATATTATGCAAATTCCTTAAACTATCCCTATTGTTTAGTTAATTGACTAACTGTACCCTTACTGTTTAACTATTGCCGTGCACCACTCCTATTGTTTTTAACAATTGACTAGCTCTACACCCGTCATTAATATCCGTTAATGTTCCATCGAAATCCAAACACACACCAATGATGTATAAATTTTTTGTAAAATCCAATTTTACCCTTCGCTCCTCTTCCTTCTTTACCATCCCTCTCCCCGACGGCAGCTATAGCAAACCACTCCCTAACGGTCGTCGATGGTGCAACCATTACTCTCCACATCTTTCACTACGAGAAGGGGGCATTTCGAACTCACCAGTTGCCACGACAGCAATCAACCAGTTGTCTTAGCTCGTAGCCCATATCAGAACCCTGGCCTAGGGGCATTTCGAACTCACCAGAAAATGGTTGTTTCAATAGGTTGTTGCCGCTAGTTAGGTGAGAGAGACTGAGAGAGAGAGAGAGAGCAAGAACCATGGGAGTGGGGTTGGGTCGCAGGCTGTCCGAGGCAGCATCCATCAAAACCTTTGTGCCTTCATAAATTGGAATCTCTGGACTTTCGTGCCCGTCTTTTTTTTCTCCTTTGCTTTTTGTTTATATGGACAGATTCAAGGACGTTGATTCATGATGAAAAAGAAAAGATTATGACTTTCAAGATTATGTTTACGGGCGGTTCTATTTCCGAGCGGGGCAAGAGGTGAAGACCATAAGAGAAGATTGCCCTCCCGGTAAGGAAGAGGGGAAAAAGGTGCTGTCATCTATCTCGACCAGTTTCCCGAGGCGTTGGAAATCCAAACTAGTGTTCAGATCTGCTGCGGTGAATGGGTGGGTATTGATCAGTGTTGTGTGAGGTGGGTTTCATCTTCCCCCTCATCGTTTCTCCTTATCCTCTTGGTGTCTGCAAAAGTCTAGTACCGATGCTTTGGGCCATTGACGATCAATCCAAATTCTCGACCGCCAAAACAACACTGTCAACTAGGCGTAGTCTAGAAGTAGTGGTGGGGGCAAAGGATTCCGTAGTAGTGGTGGTAGTTAGGGCAATGGCGATTGTGAGTTACAGGAAGTTCATGGCCGACTCAAAGAAATAGAACCACCACTCACTTTTTTAGAGGAAATGGGTCCTCATTTTCAGATTTGACAAATTTGATTTAAGTCTTTGATAGTGACTCCATCCTCCATGGGAAAGGTACTGAACCAAAGGTTTTGGATTCCAAATATTGGGAAAGGGAAGGTGTTAGGCACTCCTCTCTCCAAGCTACTATAGCAATCCACTATGGGAGTAATTCAGGCTCAAATTCCAATGAAACACGAGTTAACAGGATTACTCAAAGCTCCTGAAATCTAGCAAAAATGTTTTCAACTTCGCCCAGAATTGATTTGAGGTGATGTTATCGAGTCTTAAGTACTTGTTTCCCTAAGACCCTCGCCTCTCTACCTCTTTTTCTCAATCTGGAGGAAGCTGGGAATGCAAGTTTCCTAGGGTTTCAAGACTTTAAGCAATCTGAAACTAAACTAAAAGCATCATGGTTTTCAAAACCGGACCGGACCAGATGGTCAGACTGAAAAAACTGATAACCGGTCGGCCCCCGGGTCCGGTTATACTAAAAACCGGAAATTTCTTAAAAACATTAAAAAGTTAGAAAACCACTGACCCGAGCGGTCAGACTACTAAACCGTTTGACCCAAGTAGCGGTTTGCGGTTTACTTTTTTTTATTTTCAATGTTTTAAATAAAAAACAAAAAATAAAATGCCTTCAATATCCCCAACCCAGAATCGAACTTTAGTCCCTTTAGGGTTAGAACCCCATTTTCGTTCTAACCCTTCCCTCCTCTCAACCCTCACACCCAACCGACCACCTGCAGTGGCCAACACCTCCGATGCCCGACAACGACACACACCGACCAACGATGATTAACGGCGACCGATGATGACAAGTTTACAGTAGTAAGAGTTGCGGTGGCCAGCACTTGTAGTGGCAGACGGCGAGTTTGTAGCGGTTGTCTGACAAGTTTGCAACGGTGACCAGGGAGAAGCATTTGCAACAGACGACAATAACACCACCATTGGGCATTGGCGATTCTACAAGTCGAAGCAGCACTTGCAGCGGCAACTTGCTTGCGGCCAAGCCCGAGCCCACTGTCACACCACCATTACTAGCACTTGGTAGTGAAACCTTGAATTGCCTGATTTCTAGAAGATTTGGAGATTGATTGTGAGTGTTTTGACACTTAGGAGCAATTCTAAAGAAATTCTCAGAAATTGAAGAAAAAACAGAGTTTTGAAGTTTTTGCTTGGTTGAAGCTTAGGGAGCAACATTTGGCACGGTGCTTAGGTACAAATTAATGTAATTTTTTTGATCAATTAGGTAAAATTAATGCATATTGAAGTCTTTTAGAGATCAATCTTGGTTGCATAGCAATCTAACATTCTAGAGTGAATGCTCCTATTTCTCCCCTTTTATTTTGGTGCTAGGGGAATCTATCCCTGTGAATCTTGATTTTAGGTCAAGGATTTTTGCATTTTAGGATTTAACATTCTAGAGTTTTTTTTTTTTTTTGCAATTTTCTATTTTTTTCTGTATTTTTTGAATGTTTGTGTTTTTTCTGTATTTTTTAGAATTTTTCTGTATTTTATTTTTATATTCTCTATGTGTTTTGTACTGTATTATTTTTTATTTAGATAGTTTTATTTTCTATATTTTTTTGTATTTTATTTAATTTTATGCTTTTTTATTATTTATAAATATTTTTTTATTTTTAATTTATTTATGACGTCACAGGTCAAACCATTCAACCCAAACGGTTGAACCGCTTAACTAGAAACTGGTCCCCTGATCGGTTCAATTTCCAGTTCGTTTTTAAAAATCATGAAAAACAAAGAGACTGTGAAATGAAAGGCTTACCTCTCATGTACGACCCTAAAACAAACTTTCCTACAGCTAAAAGGACTTCAAATGAATCTTGAGCAAGGCATAAAACTAGGTTGAGCATTTCTGGTGTTAAGTTTTGAAAACAAGGGATGAGGCTTGAGATTGGCTCTAGGAAGTTTGGGATTTCAAGCATAACGAGTGTATCACAGAAATTGAGAAACTACCCCTCCTCCCTCAAGCTCGAGTTAGGCCTTTATTTATAGAAGAAAAGAGAGGGAGATGGGTCTGAAATTCGTCTAGTTACAATGTCTATAATTCAATAGAACTCTTTCATTGAAATAGGAAAAGATTTTGAAAAAGAAGAGCCTGTAGTTGACCATTCTTTCTTTGTATAACAAATTTTCTCGAGTTTAGAAGACTTCTTATGAATTTTATGCATCCAATGAGGGATTGAGGCGTGTCAAATGTTCCAACCCCGTATTTGGGGCTGACTGTGGCAGAAAACATAAATTTGATGAACTTTTAAATGGGGTTTTGCCTTTTCTTAGTTTTAAGTGGAGTCTGTTTGATATTTTGAGCTTCTTAAGCCTATTAGGCTCAAATTCATTAGTCCATGTGTTTTAATAAGTTCAAGTAAAAATAGTTTAAGGAAATTGCCCTTATTATTAACACTACGCCCAACAATAGGCATAATTCACGTACTGATACGTTTAGCTAAATACAGACGTTGACATTGAAATACATACAGAACTAGAGACTCCAGTTCAAGGGAAGAATGCACAGAACTTAATAACATCTCGGAACACAAAGATCAAAACCATGCTTTGTGTTCGGACTATTCAACTCAGCCATAGCATCGAATTGGATCATTGCAACCTTTCCCAGCTGACTGCTTCGTCCCAAATCGGCCCCCTTTCTCAAGGTATTGTTGGTGGTATTCTTCGGCTCTGTAGAACTTTTTGGCTGGCAGAATCTCAGTAACAATTTCCCTTCTTAGCTCTTTCTGGTGTTGCTCCATGGATTCTCGTGCAGCTTTCTCCTGATCTGGTGTGTAAAAGTATATTCCAGATCTGTACTGTCTTCCAACATCATTCCCCTGCACAATAAATAAATTGGAATTTACTAATGGAAGCATTTAGTAGATTAGACGTCCTGTATGTTTGAACGAAGCTTTTTTGTATGGTCCTAGAATCAACAGTAGGGTATTCTAGATCTATTTATTTCTCAGATTTTGAATAATTTTCTGTTTTATGGCGTGTTTTGGTAATTTTACTTCATATTAATGGAGTCTAGTTTGGTGATTATGTAATTTGGGTCTTATTTAAGTCGTGTTTGACGTTTCATGGTCAAAGGATAAGTAAAGTAGGAACTATGATGTTTTCTATGGGCTTAGGCTTCCAAGCCCTATCATCTCTTTATAAATACATCTTGTAAATCATATTTTGGACAAAGAATTAATAGAGAAAGATTTTATGAAGCGGTGCAAGTCTTGTATTTTTCTTCTCAATATAAACCTTTGTTCTCTGTCATTTTCTCATTTATTTCTTTTCAACATTCTCCCCCTTTTTTCTTTTCTAATTATCTACTAAAGATTTAACCAAGATCTTCTGGTTGGCATCTCTTGTAGCTTTAAACAAGGCTTCAAATCACTCATTTGAACCCTCCATACAAGACTGATTATCTACAACCCAAGTTTCTCCCTTCCAACTTCTCTTGATACTCTTCTACTTTGGGGCATTTTCATCTGTTTATGTAAGATTAGTTCAGATCCCCCTCAAAATTTATTTATCCCCTCATAAATATCCAGTATAATTCACCTACCAAATTTCAATCCAAAATTCTAACTAAAACCCATCTTTCACAATGGGTTTTTTTCCTTGCTAAGAGGGATTTTCATCCTTTTGTTCCCAAAGGCAAACTACTTGGAATCTTTCAAATTAAACTGCACCATACATCTCCATATTCTAAATCTACATAGAAAAATTCCATCGTTAGAACTACCATTTTGGTTCCTAAAAATTTTATCGGTCCAAAGAGAAACCAACGTTATGTTGAATTTGCTCCAAAAACCTTTACAGATCAAATTGCACATCTTAGATGGTTCCAATAGACCCCTAAAGCTGCCATTTATCTTATCGAGTCATTCCTTTAATCGTTTGGCTTACCTAGCTCACATAGGGACTACCCTGTTTTTTTTTTTTGATAAATTACATAGGGACTACCCTGTTCTACATCAACTTTATTCTCTTTTTTGGGGGGAGGGGTATAAAAAACTGAATATCTGTATTTTCGCAATATTGAAGATCAAACAACAAACAACATTTTTTCTGGGTCCACTAGTTCAATGCTTCCACTAAACAGCCTTGTTGAATCCTAAAAATCTTCAGATATTGAAGTGCCTTTTATCTTGACCTCCACCAAATCAGCGGCGTTATATTTACGTTTAAATATATGATCAATTGACTGCTTCCTAGGCAAAAATGGAAAAAATATCAATCTATACAAGGTAACCATTAGAACAAAAGCTCCGTTATCCACCAAAAAATCATATTCAAACCAGGCACGAGGAAATAGGCAAAAAAAGAAGAAAAATCGCTGCCACAACTATGAAAAGAATGTAAAAAATCATACCATTTTCTCCACATAATTATTCACATCATAAAATCTGATGCAACAGCATTAGCATAATTGGAGAAAAGTGATCCCCTTCGAAACTCAGAAGCCCCAATCCCAAAAAGCAAAATTGTACTGGAAGAACCATAGAGACGAAAAGAGGAGAAATCAGGAGGAATACCCATGGATCAAACCACAGGGCTTCTTCTGGGTCCCACAAAATGCCATTCCCAAGGTAAGATCAAATAGAATTGAGTGAGTAACCTAGTAACTAGATCTTAGATTATCCCATTTGGTTTTGGAGATATCTGCAATTGCTCATGTCTCCAAAAGTCAAGTTTTCTATTGGGAAGTATACCATCAAAAATTTAATTCCATGAGGTCCTGACATTTTTTGGCCTGTATCATCTCATATATATTTCTTATGCAAATCAGTAAGAGTAAATCCATCTTTAAGGTTACTTTCTATTTGCCAATATCCTGTGAATATGTATCAAGTATTTGGAAACACTTCTTTTCATTGTCAAGTTGAGGTGTACCAGAACTATCATCTTTTAAACTGGGAAGAAAGGAATGCAAGTCTTCAACAAGGAGAAAACCCAGGAAGCTGCAATTGATCTACCACAACCAAATCATGAATGAAAATATGGTGTGGATTTAATATTTTTACTACAGATGGCATATAAGGACTTGGCCCAACATGATTTCTTCTTATACCAGCAGGCTGGCAGCCCCTATTGTATTGTTATCCCCTCCATAGTTATCAAGGCGACGCCTAGGCGACAAGGCGCCCTTTGAGGCTCGCCTCGCCTAATCGCCAAGAAGTTTTTTTACTTCCTACTATAAAATACTTATTTGTTCATTCTTTTTTGAGATTATAATTATAGAATAGACATTATTAAACTAAAATAATCATTTTGTGTGTTTATATACTAATTTCTTTTTATTGTTTTCTTATTTACTACTACTACTACTACTACTACTTTTTCTTTTCTTTTTTTCCTATAACAAAAATAAGGGTTCATCCCCTATATTTTTTGAATTTTATTTTCCTTCTTTTTCTTCTCATGAATATGTCGATTTTCTATAGAAAATTATGAATAATTATTAAGGAAACATGGTTATGGTACCTAGGGAGCTACCCTAGGATCTATGTTTTCAACATAAAAAAATTCATCGCCTAGGTGACTAGGTGATAAGGCGCCCCCCTGTCACCTAGCCTCGCCTTGGCGCCTTGAAAACTATGATCCCCCCCTCCAGACTCTATAAAGCTGAATTTTAATGGTTGTTGACTGGGAAATCCAGGCAGATCAGGTATAGGTGGGTATCCTGCAATCATGAAGGGACCATCTTGATGGTGTGATTAAGGCCAGTCAATGGGAACTCCAAAAGGGTAGAATTTCTTTCAATTTTTTAAGGTTTTGGTTGGCTATGATATTGCATCCAAACCAGCTGGAGGTAGAAGGTGATTCACAGGTGGTACTTGGGTGGATGAGAGAAAGGCTAATTCCCTATTGAAATATAGAAATCAGATTAGGAAAGAAAGAGCCCTGGCCCACAATTTGGCTACCTTATTTAACTCGGGTCGGGAGATTAGCCCAACACAATTACAGACTCTTGCAAGAGGGATGTTTACCAGGTTGAGCTGTATAGGGCCTGCTCTAGAAGAGTATGAAAAGGATATTGTAGGGAAAGGGGGGGGGAGGGGGCATATGGATCAAATTGTGTTACTTTTAGGTGTAATCATCAGGTAAAGGTGTGCAGATTCATATAGGTACACTATTCCATTGTATTTCTGCTCTACTATTCTGATTATTAGAACTTCGCTGGATCTGTTAATGATCAAAAGATATTTGCAAACTCTCATCTTATCTCATTATAATCGCAATTTCACAATTTTCTGGTTTATATGTTTTTTGATCAATTCTTGCTGCTTCAGGAGTAATTTTCCAATTTCCAACAGCTATGGGAGAAGATATATTTAAATTTTGAGAGTTTAATTATTATCTTGGAGCTCAAGTTGTTTTAGGTGGGTCTAATTGTTGTTTGTGCCTCAATTTAATGGGGCTCGCCAACTAGAGAAAGTAGATGGTGGAAGGCATGGATGATGATGATTTTTTGAACAGGTAAAGTAAAGATATGTATTACTATTAAAAAAGATCACACTCTTGATTATAATACACATTGACGCACCAATATTGTATTAAAAAAGTATCTACAATATTTTGAAAAATTCACAGAAATCCTGAAAATATTAAACTAAATCCCCCCCCCCCTCCCTCCCTTCCTTCCTCCCTCTCTCATGTAAAATGAACTGCTATATGATGGGAGCTAACAATGGACAACTAACAAACTTGAGACTCACTTGTGCAATAGGGTCAAGTAGCAGGCAAAATTCACAGGAATCCTGAAAATATTAAACTAGATCACCCTCCCTCCCTCCCTCTCATGTAAAATGAACTGCTATATGATGGGACTTAACAATGGTCAACTAACAAACTTGAAACTCAATTCCATGCAAATTGTACAGATCAAGTTGTGCAATAGGGTTGAGTGGCAGAATAAACAAAATGGCAGAAGAAAATCCATTCATTTCAGTAATCTACATTTCTTGCAAAAGACAAATAATTTCAGGAGGGTGGGACAAACAAGAAGAAACAAAACAGACTGAGAAGACAGAATGCCTGAATCTTGGAGAATGTGCCAATTTTCACTGAAATTTCTTTGAACTCCATTACATGAGCAGATTCAAAGCAAAGAGGCTTTGGCCGCCAGGATTTGTTACGATCCATTTGTCCCACATTGGTAGTTTGGGATGCTAATGTGAGATATCCCACATTGGTAGTATGGGATGCTGTTGAGTGGTATACATGTGCTTGGGTTCCCTCCCTCTAACAGTTAGCTTTTAGGAGTGAGTTCTTCTAAGGCACGTATCAAATGGTATCAGAGCCTACACTATGCCTCCCAGTTGCAATTGTGTGGCGCAGGTGGTGATGTTGGTATTGCAGTGTTCAGCCGGGACTAGGTGGACTAGTGCAAAGCCAGCCTGTGTGGGTAGAGCATGGTGGAATGTTGCGATCCATTTGTCCCACATTGGTAAGTATAGGATGCTAATGTGAGATATCCCACATTGATAGTATGGGATGCTGTTGTGTGGTATATATGTGATTATGTGCTTGGGTTCCCTCCCTCTAACAGCTAGCTTTTAGGGGTGAGTTCTCCTAAGGCACATATCAGGATTTTATGAATAGCTTTGGAAAACACTCTGCTAGTTATATGTTGGCTTCTCTTAAATATACAGTTTTATTACCTCTTCGTTGAAATTGGAACATCCAGCGTGTAACTTATGCAACACCCACAACAAAGAACAAAATGATATCAAAGAAACAATAAAGCTAGAGACCTAGAGTGTCTTGTTTTGACATAGGAAACCACCAATTGTTCTGAACTTCTAGGGACAGAGTGACCAGCAAACAAGCTAAT